ATATATATATATATATATATATATATATATATATATATATATATATATATATATATATATATATATATATATATATATATATATATATATATATATATAAAGTTTTCTTAATTATAGTGAAAATACAACATATACAATTTAAATACAAATTGCATTTAATTTGTTTTCTCTATCATTTTTTCTATAAACAACAACCAAACAAAATTATTTTTACTTTTTCTCATAAAACATATTTAAAACAAAACACACAAATGTAAACTTTCTTAATAAATGTGAAAAATTATTATTTTTTGTTTATAAATTGATACGAATAAAGTACAATAAATGAGACAATTATCACACGAGGAATAAAATTATTAATTATTATTAACTTAGTTTTAAAATAGGAAGATTAAAGGATTAAATAGGAGAATAAAAAATGCATTTAAGCATTCTTGATTCTAAAAGGTTATTATAAAAATTAATGAAGCAAGGAGTTTATAACTTCATATGCACCACATCCGTTTGTATGTGAGTCACACCATAATTTTGTTATAATTTAGTTTAGAGATGTATCTCCGTAAAACTTATGGATGTATACTTTCGTAATCATCCTTTAGGTAGTAAAATTTGACATTTTTGAAGAAGTACATTATTGTAATAGACTATGTATAATAAATATACTGTTCTGGCCTGGGCCCCGGCCTCACCTCGCGGCCCAGCCCAATGATACACAATAAAGACCCAATATGGTAAGTAGGACGACCGAGCACGTGACCCCTCGACGGGCAGGGCATGTTCCCGCCAAGGAGAACAACGTGCCTCAGGACGCCCCCTGCGCTCTCCCCTTCGCGGGAGCGCTGCCAATCACTGTCCCTCGTCGGGCAGAACAGCCCTCCGCGGACAGAATCCCCATACCGTCGAGCAGGACAACGTGTCTTTCCCACGCCCTCGTGTGCTCCCCTCCGCGGGGAGAACAACACACCTCCGGGGAACCTCGCGAGCTCCCCTCCGCAGGGAGAACAACGTGCCATGCGCCCGTTCTCCATGTGCTCCCCTCCGAGGGGACACGTCACTGACCAACTGCCCACCTCCGAATGAGCAGGTCAAACCCACTTTCCGGAGATCACGGGACAGTTGAACTAGGGCGAAGACCACATCCTGGTCTTCACTACGCCACGTAAGCCCTAGCAGTCACCTGGGTTGGGTCTGGCAATCCAGCCCAACACAAGTGATCGTTGGCCCAGCGCTGGGGTCTCTCTATAAATACCCTCTTTCACGAGAGGGTCAGATAATTCACTTCTTATCCCTTTTTCTGTACTTGTGATCACTCTGCCCGCATACTTACTTTGGCATCGGAGTGCTTTGCAGGTACACCCCCTCCTCCTCATCATCACCAGTGAACAGGCAGCAGCCCAACAGAGTGTGGCCAGCTAGTGATCCCCTTCTGGTCATGTCAGATCATATACTATCATAATAAATTTATTATAAATTAAGCCATACACTGATATAAATAGAGTTGTCAAAATAGACTATCTGATCCGTTTAAGACAAATTCTAAAGGCCTCAAGATTCTTAGGGTTGAATAAAAACAAACATGTTATAATATAGAATAAAAAATTACTACCCAAGCCTCACCTTTTATAGACTAGCAGGCTATCCGATCTTAAACGAACTATTTTTAAATTATTTTGTATACAAAAATTAAAATAAAAACCACATAACATTTATTATAAATACAATAATTTTTGTATATTATTTTAAATAAGTACTATAGTATTTTTTATAAATAATATAATATATTTTTAAATACAACGCATGTCTAAATTTTATAAAATAATGCTCAAATGTTTAACATAAGAGAACAAAAAATAATATAATTTTTTTTTGAAGTAAAACACAAAACAATTAAATATAAATTCAATTATATTAATATATGATAGTTAAAAGAGAAATACTGAATAAAATAGAGATAAAATTTAGTGAGGTGAAAAAAAATCAATATGTTAATTTGAAGTGAGACAATAAAAATACTAATAAATTTTTTAAATTTAGAGTTATGAGGACCTAATGAGCTATTCGTAGCCGATACGAGCTAGATCTCATTGGTAGCAACCTTTTTAGGGTTGGGCTAAAAAAGTTTTGAAAATATGGACTCTATTTTTAAAGGGCAATAACCCTATGATTTATCGCACTTGGCGTGCAGTCCCATGTGCTAGCTCATTTTGACAGCTCTAGATGTAATAAGATTAAAATGCCATATATTAGAATCAATCTAGAATCCATAATACTATCAAAATGTTAAATTACAAAACCATAATACTATCTATGATCCATAATACGAATAATATCAAATACTATTGGGTATATCAGACCCCTTGTTACTTCTCTGCCTCCTGTACTATAATAACGTTCGTACCTCAGATAGAATAACATTTATGGTGGCTCTCCCAGAAGTGCCTTTCGGAAAATCTTCTCTCTATATACTCGCTCACGCAATGGTCTATATACAACAACATGCATGTGACGCATCAACGACATGATCTGCCCTAACCTACTCCTCATCTAATATCTCTAGACGAGCTATCCTATATGGATATCAGTGAACATCTAATGTCATATGGGATACGACACTCTCAAATACTATTGGATGTAGTTGAATGCACTATTGTATTCGCGAGGAGTTAGCAGGCTTCGTGCTTCATCTGGTACAATATAACTATAGAAATTATCATACATCCATGTTGACCATAGTGGAAAGAGCAAACACAGATGGGTCTCTTAGAACAACCTATAGATACCTGAACTAATGCATGACTTGCTTAGGGGGATATGGATACATCAGGCGTATCCCACAAGCTAACCATACATATTAGAATGTTATATCATCCAAGGGACACATTTGACGGTGATCGTCATACGGTGTGTAGCGTATATCATCTGCTATATTGAGATTAAGAACACTCTGAAGGACTCGGTCGCCCGATTCCCTATGAGCGGGATAAATATCCAAGTACATGGCAAATCCTCGGTGTAGTCATCAACATATGACCAGCTGAATATGCGTGGAAAGTGCTAAAGGATCCATGCCAGAAAATGGTGCATATGAAATATTAGTAATGACGTAGAATTTTTTTTATGAAAATGGTACAATAAAAGTAAATTTGCAAATATATTAATGTAAACAGCATGCACTGTCATATGCATACGTTGTGAAACACCATCATCAACCTCCACTACTGTAGCCAGGTGATGTGTATACAACTTCTCCAAAAATGAAAATCTAGCAGGACACCATTTGGTATCTTCCAGCTATTGTAGGACACCCTTTGGTATCTTCCAGCTATTGTAGGACATCCTATGTTTTAGCTTCAAAGTTGGCCATCATCATATCTAGTGCATCAGGTTTAGTCATCCTAAAGTGGTATAATAATCTTCCTCTAATCAAAAGATGTAGCAAGGATGACACTTCATCCAATGTGATGAACATCTCACTATGCAGAAGATTAAAAAATGGTGTCTCTAAGCATCATTTCTCAACGAAAGACAACAACATACCATGGTTAATAATAGTATAATCAGTCATGCATAAATCTCACAACCTAAATATTTGCATGACATCATAAAACCATTACTCTTCGGGCTACTGCAACCTCATAATCTTTCTACCATGGTTGATGCATTTTAAAGCATCACGGTAGTGTAAAAAATACATCATCATTAGAAAGTTCAAATATTATAACACATGATTCAAAGAATAAATACAAATAAATTTTAACTTTCCGCCCCACACGCGCCTAGCAACATGATTTGCATACAAAGGCAATACTGAAGTGTCATGCGATCCTCGTCCAAATTCTCCAAGAACGACAACATCGAAAATAAGTACATCAAACTATATTAGCGGGGCTTCCGAGGCAGCAACATGTGACACCTGCCTATAGGAAGACGAAGCCGAAAATGCGTGAACCCTAAAAGTTGACGTTCTCGCATCAAATAAAGTGGCACCAATCAATGGTTGTAAGAGTCTAGCTCTTTCCCTACAAACAAATGCACGATGAGACACTCAACTGTGCCTTAATCATTCTTGGTTGTCATTCATGTTACCTATAATTAAACCATAGAAATTAGACCAAGCAGAAAAAAATCAAACTCAGACGAAAGACATTCAAAATCAAACTAAATAATGCAAACACACATAGTACGGAAATGCACTATGTATTCCTGAAAAATCAAATTCTAAAAAAATACGGAAGTGTACTTTCGTAGTTTCCTGCAACTCAGAAAACACAACAATGGTAGAAATGCAAAGAAATGAAAATGGGACAAAGCATATTGCTTAGTAAACTATGAGTGTAACTTCATATATATTGATGTTTCTTACACACCATAATGTTCCTCTTTCGTAATGCATGTAGAGAAAAAAAGAACTTGGATTGAAAATTTTATCAAATGTGTTGTTGATGTTGAATAACTTGGATTGAATGGATGTTGAAACGTAATATAACCCACTTAGATTGAATGAAGTAGGAAAGCCACTTGGATTGAGCGAAGTAGAAAATGCACTTGAATAGAGAACTTAAAAAGTGTGGGAAAGTATTTTTATTGAAAATTAGGAAGGAGAAATGTCTGTCGTGTATTTGACTCAAACTCTGCTTAAAGATATATTTTCGTATTTTTTTTACGAAGATGTATCTCCAAACTAGTTTACGACAAAATGAGAATGTGACTCATTTATATATGAATAAGATGTGAATTGGGACATGTTCAAAAATATATCTATAAATTATAAGAGTATTTTTGAATTTTCACAAAAGTGCATTACCACCACTAAGTATGAGAAAAGTAATACCCTACAAGAATTGATTGAAAGAAAGAAAAAAAAGTTTACTACGGCGGGAAAAGTAACCTCCATTTGTTTTTGATAAATAAATTTGGATTTCTTTAAATTCATTTTTCCATTGAATCAATTGAACTGAAATCACCCAACACAGTTCAGTTGCTGTGCTTAGGGTTCAACAATGTCTCGCAAAGGCAAAAACACCATCGAAGAAGAAGAACAACAACAAGTACTGCGGCGCGTGAAGAGAGAGCGCGTCAATGCCGACGATAACCCCACGGAGGAGCAAAACTCCTCAATTCGCAGAATCATCCGCTCCGAGTTTCTCAAACTCAAGTCTCTCATCAATGGTAACTCTATCAAACCCTAATTCTGTTGCTTTCTCACGAACAAAGAAAAATAAATTACCAAACCCTAATTTTTTTTTGGTATCAACAGAGAAGAAAGATGATTTGTTAAACGTCGATTCCGACAAATTTGATTCGATTCTGAGCGAGTTTGATAAGTTACATGATCAAGTTAAGAAGCCTCGAGAACAGGTTGCAGACGCCGAGGCGCTACTCGATCTTACTCGCAGTTTGGTTGGATCTGTCAAGTCTCTTGTGAACGAAGGTGTTACTCCTTCTCAGTTTGTTTCTTCGCTGATTCAACGCTATGCTCCTTCGCCCAACAGTTCCGTTGATTGGAGAAAGCTTGGAACTTCTGTTTCCTCCATTTTTCTCACTGTTCACGGCTCTTCTACCATGTTAGTTTGTTTATGTGTCAATGTTTTATATTATCACTTCAAAATGTGTGTTTGTATCTTACCGTTTTATTTTTTCATTTGTTTGAATGTTTGAAGGCTTGGTCCCATGGAAAATCAGTTGAAACAGCGCAAAACAATAGTGTCGAGGAAGCGAACGTCTCGTTCAGCTACAACTGATAGGCCTGAACAGGTCTCAAACTCTTATCCTTTGTTTGCTGCAATCAATTTAACTGATATTACGACTCTTCAGATTTTGAGGGTTTTTCATTTTTATAAGATTCTGTCATTACACTGTTTCACTTTTGCTACTTGTTTTCTTTTATCATACAACAAACAATTCATACTGTGCTTGTAAGTAAGATGGAATCTCTTTACAATATGTTAGTTGGTTGGAAGGTCCTTTAATAGTATCTTTTTGTTGGTTGGTTGTTCTAATTGAAAGATCACACCTTTCTTTTTTGTTCCTTAAAATTAGATTGCTGCAATTTAACTGCTATATCAATGCTCCAGATTTCAAGGGTTTTTATAATATTCTGTCATTTCCTCGTTTTTTCTTGCTAGTTGTATTTTGCCATGCATAATATTGTTAATGAGATGAAGGTCCCTTAATAGTAGCTCTTTTGTTGGGTGGTTGTTCAAATTTGAAAACAGACTGGGGATTGGTTTTCTGGTGTTTTGTATGCTTTCAACTACTTTAGTATTTAATGTTGATTATTGTGTGTTTGAAACAGCTGGATGATGCTGTTGGAGGGGAAAAAACTGATACTGACAAAAACATGTCAACCATGTTTAACATATTGAGGGAAAATAAAAGGGTTCAGCTTGAACACTTAATTTTGAATAGATTTTCGTTTGCTCAGACAGTGGAGAATTTGTTTGCCCTTTCATTCTTAGTGAAAGATGGTCGTGCTGAGATCAATATGGACAAAAACCATTCACATTATGTTTGTAAGATCTGATTTTCTCTCAATCAGCTGCCTACTTGCTTCTTTTTCTTCTTGTTGTACCTTATATACTATGCCATCTTCTATTTCAGCGCCAAAAAATGCTCCAGCTGCCAATGCTGTAATGTCAAAAGAAGTTTCTTATACTCATTTTGTCTTCAGATATGATTACAATGACTGGAAGGTAAAAAGATGCCCTCTTGTTAACTGGAAATTCTAAGGCATATCATGAATATTATTAGAAATTTTTAGGGTGGAGCTGTCATTTTAGAATAACAGCACCACATATGTTTAAAAAGGAATAATTTGTATCAGTTGTGTTGGACTGTGGTTGACAGACAATTCATTACTCTGTTCATTTGAAGTCCTGGACATTAAATTATGATTCCTTATTTTTAAAACTCTATTGACATTGTTTTCAAATTCAGATAATGAAGGATCTTGTGCCAGATGGCAAAGAGCTAATGCCACATAGGATTCAACACAGCACTGTGGATGCCTCACAGGCAGAAATGGATGGTGATGATTCCAAGCAAGCTTTGCCAGTCACTCCTATTAGGAAGATATCCCGGAATCGAGGGCGGGTTTTGCAGGAGGAAACTGTTGTTGAAGAATCTCCTGAATGTGATGATGAAGATGCTTCTAGAGAGGCTGCAATCCGAAGGTGTAAGCGGAAACTCCATTAAGAAATTGCATATTAGGTACCAGATCAACTTAGAATGTACCCTATTAGAATGTAAATAATTGTAGATCAATGGAAGTACAATACCTTTTTGACTTCTTGCAAATGCTTAGAATGCAAACTTTCATATTTTTAGCCGACCCCACTTAGTGAGAGAAGTCTTTAGTTGTTGTTGGTTGTTGTGGAATGTAGCTTCATCTACCATCTCTTTTAAGTGCTGTCTTTAAATTGGTAAAATGTGTAAACCTGTTGAGTGATTGGTGATTGCCTTGTTAATCTTGGCTATTTTTCTTATTTTACACGATTTGGAAAATTTTCTCAGTTATAATTGATCCTCCCTTTTCTGTTTGTCAATGTAGGATAATTTCTGTATTTATTTTGGCATTTCTGTATACACATTGGCAAGATTAGTAAAAGAAAAAGTGATTCACTTGGTGAACTCCAGAAAGTATGTGAAATTGTTTCGTATTTAGAAACTTCTGTGGTGGCAAATGTACCGAGAATGATATGTTCATTTGGCATTACATTACAACACTAATCAATACAAGCTTAATATTCAAATCAAACAACTCTAATTTACAACCAGTGTAGCAAACCAAAGTCAAGGAATAGGTAGAAGTGCCTGTTTGTTTATACATCAAAATATTATCTTTACATTTTTTTCTAAACTTGCAGCTAACAGTTGGATTATTTCCCTGCAACTGCAACAGAAGTTCCTTTGTAAGGCACAGGTATGGCTTTCAAAGGAACGGCTTTCCTCAACGTTATCCCCATTCCCTCAGTCATGTCCATTTCCTCGGGCTTAAGATTATCAGGCAAAATCCAATCAAAGGAGTTGAGGAGGGAACCTAAGGCCAATGGAAGTACACGCGAAGCAAGCGGCAACGCCGGGCACATTCTTCGACCTGAGCCAAAAGGTATAAACTCAAAATGATGTCCCTTGTAATCAGCCACATTTGGCTCCATAAACCTTTCTGGCCAGAACAAACAGGGAGCATCCCACATTTTTGGGTCCCTCCCAATTGCCCAAACATTCACTAAAATTTGTGTCTCTTTGGGAATGTAGTAGTCTCCAATTTTGCAAGAGTCCATGGCCATGTGAGGAACCAAAAATGGAAGAGGTGGGTGAAGTCTCAATGTTTCCTTGATAACTGCTCTAAGGTAGGGAAGATTCTCAATGTCATTTTCTTCAAATTTCCTATCTTGGTCTATTTTGCTCCTTATTTCCATTTGCACTTTCTTTAGTGTTCTAGGGTTGTTCAGAAGTTCTGCCATAGCCCATTCGAGTGTGCTTGTTGTGGTGTCTGTCCCTGCAGTAAACATTTCCTACAACACAATATTCTTATCAATGTTATCTTTTTTTAAAAACTTTTCTATACCAATTATGAAGCAAAACTAGACTGAAGGGACTTACAAAGACAACAACGTTTATAGTTCTTGAAGTAAAATTGTAGGGGCCACTGACACCATCGCCACGAAACTGCAAAAGCACATCTAAGAAATCTTTGCTGTTTCCACTGTCTGCAGTGTCATTTTCCATCCTTTGTTTGATGAATGATCCTGCTATCTCAAAGGCTCTTTCAACATGGAACTGTGTGTTTCTCCTTATACCTTGAGGGTCCAGGCACTTCAATATAGGAAAGAAATCTGCAACGTTGGGTTTCCCAGCATATTCCATAACCTTAACAGCATGGTAATAGAATCTACCTCCTCTCTCCATTTCAGGGTCTAACAAATCCTTTGAAAAAATAAGATTCCCAATGAGGTTAAAAGCCATCAAGAAAAAGAATTTTCCAACATCAACAGCACAATTGTTAGACTCGCCATCGCCAGAAGCTTCATTTATCAAGCTCACCATGCGGTCTATACATTTTGCACGTACACCTCGCATGGTGTCTAAGCGACTAGTCACAAAGAACTCGGTGGTGCTCAAGCGTCTCAGCATGCGCCAGTGCTCGTTGTATTGAGAAGTTATGAGCGAACCTTCACTACCATATTCATGATTCCCTTTCATGGACTCGTAAATCTTCCTTCCAGCAAGAGCAACATCATTGTTTTTAAACATATCACGAGCTACGTCGCTGGAGGAGATAACGACAGTACACATTGAACCTAGCCAAAGAGTCATGATAGGACCGTGTTTGCGAGCAAGTATAGCAAAGGCCTCGTGCGGCGACAATGACAAACCTAGCTGGAAAATGTTGCCAACCAGTGGCCAACATCTTGGCCCAGGTGGTAGCTGATGATGACCAAGTTTCACTCTTCCAAGTTTCATCATCCATACCAAAAGAACTAATACCAAACCCACAACACTAAAATATTCCATGTATATTTACTTCCCCTGCTAGTGATGATATTGATTTAGGTACTTCCTTCTTATATACTTGCTTCCTGGCATGTGTCCATCATCAAATTATTTAATGTAGTATTATTTATTTTAAAATAAATTTAAAATTGAAATGAATTATTTATTGATTTATATAAGTTTATATAATATTTTTAGATATGGTGATGCGTGTTATGTACTATCATCTATATTCATATTGAATAATCTATGGTCCCCTAATCTTATGAGTGTGAATGATAATGGTCCCTATACTAGTTACCCTATACTCCGTACCATTTGAAAAATGCTATTCAACTGCCCTTTAACGTTTCACTCGTCTTTTGTGCATGATCATATATAAAACTTATGTTTCGTAATCATTTTTGTAATATTTCTGTGTAAATGGCTCACAAAATTCAAACTAGAAGGGACAATATTATTGGGCTTATCTATGTTATTTTTATTCATCAAATCCATATCTTTCCACGGGATATACTTTGTCTCTTTCATAAGGAAAACAATGGGTACAAATTCAGTGATTTTGATTGCATAAAAAACACAGGTTTTAGTGTATTCTATGAAACAAGAAAATGTGTCTTTACCACCTTAACCAGGATAGAAAACAACACATATAATTCATAACATTAACAGTTTTGTTTGATCATACAACTTCGCATGTGTTTGAAACAGAATGACACTCCTTTCAATGTTTAGAGAATTGAATTGGATTTTGAACCGAATCCATGAGACTTGTAATTTAAAATTCAATTAGTTTAATCGATTAAATTTATGTTCAAACTGTTAAATAAATAAATAAATATTAATATGAAATTAATTTTCATAAATATATGTCATGCACAATCGTATGTTTACAGCTTAATAAAATGAATATTTTAAAAATTTATTACAAACGTAATACACTAAGGTCAACGATCTATATTAAGAGATCAATATAAATGTCATCACCATTGACGATCACTTCAATCTTGCGCACAACTTGAAAATCTCAATCAAATTTTCATGAATGATTAGTTTCAAGTACGTTTTCAATCAATTGCAGATCTCTCATTATCAAGATCTGAATCAAATTGAAATTGAAGATGCAAGAATTTGGTTGAAAGACTTTGAAATTTCAAAACAGAGGAAGTTAAATTTTCACTTAATCGCAATGTTGATTATGATTTGATGTATATGAAAAATGATGACAAAAAGCTTTTATATATGCTTGAGATTAAGCACAAAAAATAGTTGGAAAAGTCAGTTAGATTCGAATTAAGAACAATTCATGATTTGAATCAAATAAACAAGTGAAGTGGAATAAAAGAAAAACAAAATTTTGACAATTTTTCATTTGATTCGAATCATCATAAAAGCGTGATTTGAATCAAAGACCTCGTGATTCAAATCATGTACAAATTTTGATCTGAATAAAATGCAACTGGCCTAACTGGAAAATGTTGAAAAATTGTTTAATTAAAATCATGTAAAATATTTGATTTGAACCAAATCAAGCAGAGGTGATTCATGAGAAATTGATTCGACTTATGTGCAATATTTGATTTAAATCAAATCAAGCAGAGGTGATTAGTGAGAAATTGGTTCGAATCATGTGTAAAACTTGATTTGAATCAAATGGTTAGAGAATCTCATTTTCCTCTGTCAATTTTGATTTGAATCAGAAAATGTGTCTGATATTCATGATTCAAATCAAACACATAAAATTTCAAATTTTCATAGTTTTAAAAACACTTTGAAATTTTTCTTTGAAACTAACTCAAATAAAAAACATAAAAGGTTCTTATTCCACTTACTCATGCAAATGACAAAAAAAAAATCATGATCAAGATGCAAACTTCACGATCAAAAACATCATGACCAAAAAACACCACTGGTTTATCCATGCTATAAATGAATATTTTCAAACTTAATTCTCAAAAGTGCAATCATGAAAGAGAGTCAATGATCAAAAGTAAATAAAAGATGAAAGTGATAAGACAAACAACAAAATAACAAATTGGGTGCTCCCCATGAATGAATTCAGAACATGAACATGCACCTATAAGTATTAGGTTTAAATAGAATTCTCTTATAAGATTTAGGAATGATCTATCTGGTACTTGTGTAAAAAAAAAATCTATTAGAGAGGCTTAACAAATTTAATGATATAGTTTGTGACTTTTTAAGAGGTTGGACTCCATGTACCAAGGTCAAATCACTTTCTTCCTTATGATCTTAAACTTCTCTTCTTGCCTTCTATTTATTAACTAAACAGTGAATACATCCCCTCTTGGTGCTTCTGTGGATTTTTGGCTTGTGGAGGCCATGATGATGCTTACGACAAGAAAACTCACTCAAGAAAAATGATAGAAGAGATAAATTTTAAAATGCAACAAATATTAATAGAGTATACCTATTTATAATGCATCTTATGAGATTTTGATATTCTAATTATGAAATCATTTTAAATTGGATGAGTCAATTGATCGGTTAATCGCCTAATCGATTGGGGCCAATTAGTCCAACATGTATTCAAGTCCAAAATCACATTTTGAAATTTTCGAATTTATAATGATGTTTAACTTTTCAAATTAAAAAAAACATATAAATAATAAATACCAAATATATTATTGGAAAACTCACCTAATTTAAGCTTATGATTAAGGAAATTAGAGGATACAAGTTCAAACTCTAAGGAAGATGAAAAATACTAACTCCACAACTAACTATTAAGATATTAATTAGTTTAAAAAAACTACTCCACCAAGCATGCTATCAAACTTAATTTGAAGCATTAGTTCCTAAAGTAAACATTTAACATTTTTAAAAATGTGAAATGTAAGCCGTTTCGAACTAATCAAAGCAAGACGCGTGCCTTATTATTAATATCGAAAATTATTTTAAGTATTATTATTTTTCTTTTTTGTGGAGAATATTGAAAAATATGATTAGATCGAAGAACAGATGAGTTGCGAAACATAACATAACATAACATCGTGGGTACGATGTCGTCGGATTTCACACTCGAATCATTCACAGTGGAAACCACCGACGGCGTCAAACTCCGTACGAGGTTGTTCAAACCCGGTCCAAACATAAACATCAAAAACGAAAACTTTGCGATCGTTCTCGTCCACCCATACTCCGTTCTGGGTGGCTCACAAGGTCTCCTCAAAGGCATCGCTTCCGGGTTAGCTCAAAATGGCTACACCGCCGTCACTTTCGACATGAGAGGCGTCGGAAAATCCACCGGCAGACCTTCCCTCACCGGATTCGCAGAAGTTAAGGATGTTGTCTCTGTCTCCAATTGGGTCTCTCACTCTCTCTCCATCCCCAAAATCCTTCTCCTAGGTTCCTCCGCCGGTAAATCTCACTTCTAAACCCTAATTTCATTTTGGCTATGAAATTGAAAAAATTGATGCGTTGTTGTTGATTCTAGGTGCTCCTATTGCTGGTTCTGCCGTTGATAAGATTGACCAAGTTATTGGATATGTGAGTATTGGATATCCGTTTGGGATAACTGCTTCTATTCTTTTTGGGAGGCACCATAAAGGTATACTGGAATCTGAAAAACCGAAATTGTTCATTATGGGGACACAGGATGGGTTTACGAGTGTGAAACAGCTGAAGAACAAGGTTAGATCTGCGGCGGGAAGAGTTGAAACCCATCTGATTGATGGGGTTGGACATTTTCAAATGGAAGGGCCTGATTATGATGCTTATATGGTGGATTTGATACTTAACTTTATTGAATCATTGTCATTGTAAGTTTCTAACTACGAACAAATAACTTATTCATGACTCTGTGCAGTGTTGTATCCTTTATGCTAAATTCTAAAACCAAATGTTTTCACATTCAAAATTTACCTATCAACTTCAGAGTTTAGTTCTCCTCTTCAAGTTACCCTTATGTTAAGATCCTTAATTGCAGCAATTTCAAGTCCATAATTTTTAAAATGTGTAAATTACACTAGCACTTTGGAGATTACATAACTAAATTCAACGTTGAGACTATAGCAGTAATAGAGATATTGTATTCTGAATATACTAGTAAAAATATGCGATGTAGATATTGATGGTGGAAAGAAAAATAGTGAGATTAACACAAGGTAGATATTGATGGTGGAAAGAACACCAATGAGATTAACACAGGATATATATTGATGATGGAAACGGTATGAGATTAACAAAAGATATATATTATTGGGATATAGTTGATATTTATCTGGTTGAAATAATGTTGAAGGGATACTAGTTGATATTTTTCTGGTAGAAAAATAAATCAGTAAAAGAAATAATATTTTTAATCCACTTGCACTGCCACGTCAGCATGCATTAGTGACACTTAATGTTAAGGAACAATTTTAGGGACGAAAAAGTTTGCGAAATTATTATTTGAAGAAATTTTTTAAGAGAAACTAAAATTGAATGTTTAACATATTTATGAGGACCCTTTGTAACACTAATACGTATGTCTAGAAGATATATGTTATACATGAATCCAAGTTTCGTACTAAAATACACATAAGTTCTTAGTAGTACATTGCATACATTACATGCCAATACATAAAACCTAAAAACAATGGCATAATATACACAAGATATTCCAAAACACTAAGAACTAGATCATGTCAAATGATCTCAAATGGAGTCTTCACAACGGAAACTATGTCATCCATAAAAAATAAGCAACACAAGTAAGGATATCAAACGACTTTATCCTTACCCTTCACGGAACCTGAAGCACCTGAAACATAATCAACAACGTGGGGTGGGATAATAATCTCAGTGGGTTCTGTACTTTATGGATTCTTTCAGCTTTACAAGGTTCTAACCAAAACCTAACTCAAACCAAAAAGGGAAGGAATGAGACATTAAGTTCACAATCTCAAACTATGTGGACAATAGGATACTTGAGTTCCACAACTCACAATATAACACTAATCAGCAACTTACCTTTGCTTCCCATTGTAACACCCCAAATTTAATCGGAATATTTTAATTAATTTATTTAATTGAGAATATTCGTATTTTGGGTGGTTTCAGTGGCTTTGTGGAGTATTGAGAAGATGTGCATGTTGGACTATTTATTTAATTAATAGTATACTATATGAGAATATTAGTATTATTATTATTAAAATAAATATAAGAGAAATAAGGGTAATTCGGGCATTATGAAGAGTTAGTAAGGGTGTTATAGGAAAAGCCCAGTTTGTGAGGCCCAACACTAAGTTAGACAAAATTGAGTTCTGAAAGGAAATTGGATTTCATTTTGGGTTTAACGTGGAAGTTGGTGGCCAAAGCTCTGAAGGAAAGGTTGGAAGCAGAAGATCCCAAAGATTAATCGTGAAAGCTGCGAATCGACTAAGGTATGGGGAGTATCACATTTCATGATTTTCTATGTATGTCTTTCGGTGTGTTTATGGTGGGGTTTATGATTTAAGATATGTTGGGTGATTTGGGAGAATTAGGGAAATTGATGAATAGACTTTGAGGTTATGATCGATGGTATGTATCCCTGAATATTGACATGAATTTAGGAAACCTTATCGGACTGTTTGATGTGTGACATGAGAAAGGAAACCTTAGACTTTCATGGCCAAAACCTTGGGTTGTGATATGTTTGACCCTGTAGGAATAGAAATATTCAAATGTGAAGTAACTCTGATATACTCAGAGCAATTGCAGGGAATAGTGTTTTAGGCAGTGCAAATGTTGTCAGATTGGCCTAATAAACTATAGATGTTGTGTCGTTATCGACGTATGACCTTAGGGATGACTTGATGATGTTTTGGGAGCATCGGGAAGTTGAATCGTATGAGAATTTAGGCAGAAAACAGTTCTGACCGTAGCAGATTTTTGCTGTCATCGCAACATTCGCTAGAGACTCGCCTAGCGAGCAGTCAGCGAGCACTCGCTAGAGACTCGCCTAGCGAGAAGTCAGCGAGCATTCGCTACAGGCTCGCCTAGCGAGCAAGCCAGCGAGCATAACAGAGTTCGCGAATATGGATTGTTGTGTAGCGATGCCGTGGTGTGTGATTCTGAGATTTCTAGGATGAGTTGTCATGAGTATGACAGTGGGGTTGCATGCGTAATAAGTGATAGTATGAGGATTACCGTGAGTGGAATTATGATGAATTAGTATGAGGCAATATGAGATGATATTAGGGATTAATATGTGAATACTAGGTGATGATATGACGAATTAACATGAGTAGAACTGTGGAGTTTATGTGATTGATAGGCGATAGTGTGAGGATTGCCGTGAGTATAACTTGATAAATTAATATGAGATGATATGAGGGTAGTACTATGAATTAATATGGGGTAATATGGGATAATATGACTATGGGCTAATATGTGATTTATACGTGATTATATGATGACATGATGTGTGAGGTTAATTAATATGATGGACTATGATGATATGTTGTATGATGAATAATATGATAATTATGATGATATGTTGTATGATGATTAATATGATGAAATAATATGATGAATGATGAACTATGTGATAACATGATGAATGGTGAATTATGTGATAATATGATGAATGATGATGCACCATATGTTGTATTGTGAGGATTATTATTGTGACGTGTGCATCATACATTCATTTGCATCCGGACTTCGGTTCAGGACCTCGATTATTATGACTTCAATCCCACTGTGTGGATGTGAAGTATTTTGATGTGCTCCGATCCTATTGATGGGGATCTATGGAGGGTTGATGGCCTAATGTCCATCGCGCTGTGATGATTGGTACCGCATGCATTGAGTTGTGTTGCATTTGCATTTATGAGCCTTTGTGTATAAGTTATGACGTTGTGGCCTTTGAGGCATAATTGAAGGATATCAATGTGTTGAATGTAACTATGAGTAATATGCCGTTTATTCGTTAATTGTCGTACATTGATTATTATGAATTGTTTTACTTACCCTGCCTGTTTGAATGTTATCTCCACGTGGGTAACGTGCAGATGAGAAAGTTTAGCTGTGGACGCCGTTGAGGAGTATTTTGAAGTTAGAGTCGTTAGCCTTTTATGGTTAATATAGAGGGTCTTGCTCTGATATGTAACATCGGGTTGGGTTCTTTGAGTTGATTGTATATCATTGAGTTATTTTACTGATGTTCCCTTAGGAGAGAAACATTGAGTTATGTTTTGAGTTCTGCTGTATATGATATTTTGATGTATTTTGAGAAAACTCGTGTTACGGAGTATGGATCCTTTTTTGATGAATTTGGGAATGTACGCCCTTTTGTGGCTTTTTAATGAAAGTTAATTTTTACTCTGAAGTCCGTGTTATTTTGATGTATTATCTGTGGGGTAGAATAAGGGTGTTACATTAGTGGTATCAGAGCAGGTCGGTCCGTCCGACCAAGTTGTCTAATGTTGTTTGTTCCTTAGTATGCGACATGTGTGTGAAAACACTGTCGGTTCATGTTTGTTGCCTAACCTTTGTCTACAGAGTGGGAATGAAACAAGTTGGGGAGAAGCTTATGCTTCTCCAGGATGCTGCAAGTGTGGAGTTGTAGCTCAGTATGTGGTTGAACGCTCTTATAGTTTGGTAAAGATGGTTTATACCCCATCATAATTTTCAGCTGTCTATTGACAAATTGAGGACCCGATCAGCCTTAATCTGTTGTTGATAGTAGTTGGGATTATGTTGGATGGGATGGACGTGTCTTGCAAGCTTAGATGGCGTGAGCAGTGAATTGTTTTGAGTTAAGATCAATGCTTAGAATTGTTTTGGTGAGTCGGTGTAGGATGATGCCAAGATGTTTACTTTGATGAAAACTGTGAGTGTTGATGAAGTGGAGAAGTTGATGGTTTGCTAGTTAATCGTAATTGTCTGGAAGCTTCCCTGGCGAGATAGTGATATACAGCCAGAACGTGAAGTGGAGTTGTGATCGACTTAGTTACGGGAACTAGTCCGATATTGAGAATTCCATATTATATGTCTGTTTGGATGGTCGAAGAACGAAATGGATTGAGTAGTTTTGAGGCTTGTGTCTGGTGTGTGTGCTAAGGTAACAGACTGTGAGGTTGAGTATATTAAAGGTGGACGATGACTTCTGATGATTATTAAAGAAGGTTAGATGTGGAATGCAATATTGGTATAACTAAGTTTTAAAATATTTCAAAAATTGGAAATGTGTTGAATGACCTTCTAAGTGTGAAATTGTCGTTGTACGTCGAATTCCGAGATCGCAGCTTTTTACGGAATCGAAATCGGACACCCGAAAGTCAGGTAACGGTCGAAAATAGGATTTCGGACTGTCAGGTTCGGTAGGTCCTTCGCCTAGCAAACAACCGCTTGCTGCTGTGTTCGCCTAGCGAGCATGTCTTGGGCAGAAGAATGTTGTTTTGGTATTTTTGTCGTAACGGGAGAACCGTAACTCGGAATGACGCGCGATTCGAAGCGCTGGAAAGCTAGTCTAGTGCTCTATGTGATGGTGAAGTAGTGGCATGGAATTAAGTTGTTTATTGATGGAATATGTTTGGATGTTGTGGTAAGTGCGAAAGGTGCAGTTCGTGTTTCCGCCATAACTCGCAAATTGAGTGTCCGTTTGGCATGAGATTTTTCATACTTAATTGAGAGAGTCATTGGTTGTGTTAACCGATGATATTTTGATATATTCGAAGAGTATAGAGGACCATGTTGAGAATCAGGAACTTGAGTTATCCTTGTTGGAGAAGAAGCAGGGATATGCCACTGTGAAGAAAGTTCAAAGAGTTTTTGGGAGAGCTGTCAACAACTCG